GGTAGTAATACCAGCGTTCATGCCACTCTTGCCAATCGCCATACCACTGACAGAACCAGGCCCGCCGGAATTACCCGAGGACGACACTGCGGCGATCCTCTTGTACATGTCCGACGCCCTCGAAGTAGGGTAGCCAAACCCTCTTGCATGCGCGTCATAATCTTCGTCCATTCCCTCCTCCATGATCGCCTCTTCCTCCATTTCCTCGGCCAAACCATCTCGGCTACGAACCGACGAGCTAGGGAGATATGACGACGTCGAAGACGTAAAGGATCCAAAGGACGAGATGGATTGATGTGGCGTATGATAGTAAGGCTGATGGCCGTGTGGGTGATAGTTACCGGACGACGTCGAGCGGCTGCGATTCTCGTTCATGGCACCTCGCTCCCTCCTGACCGTGCATTGTGGCCAAGCTACATGTCTGGAGGCAGTCTCGCTTCACCTAAACTGTCGGGCACTGGTCTCCCTCGTATTGCCAACGCCGCCTCTTCTCGTCACATTGGTTCCCCAGCCGCGACCGTCTCCTCGTTTGCCCGCGATGAACCACCTTCCTCCCGATTTGGCGACGAGGAGCTCGAAGGAGTGAACCAGATCGAGGAAGATGACGAAGATGGTTTGGAAGACGAGGACGAAGATGACGCCAAGGTCGACGAAGAGGAAGAAGACGAACTGACCGATGAGAGCGATATTGCGTTGCCCTCATCAACGTCCCAATATGCACCCACCTCTGCTAACACGATTCATGGACGCAGCAGGAGTCGTTCGGTCGGTTATCATCCCTATGGCTCGCACGGTGCTGGAGCGCGTGTGCTCCCTGCTTCGCTTGGCGCGACATCGTATGGATGGGGCGTCATTAGCGAATCTGGAAAATCTGCAAAGGCCATTGGAAATACTTCCGAGTACGTATCTCGATTTTTTTTGTTGGGTGCTGGCACATTTCCCTTTTCCATACACCTCGCGCGTTCTATTCCCTACCCTCTTGTCTGCCTTTCTCCCATACACATCCAAACGATCACAAACAATATTCATCATTCGAAAACGCCCCCGATATCAAATCTCGCGTGATATACCGAAAACCCTGAATTGACATATTACCCCTTTCCCTTTTTGCAAATAGCGTACATGTCTCCCCGAAGCAATCTCACGTCACCCCGCGTAGTCCAATGTTGATTCCCAATGGCAACCATATGGATTCGATGTACTCGCACAATCATCCTCGCCTCCACCACCATCACAGCCGTTCGACGTCGTCCGGTAACTATCACCCACACGGCCATCAGCCTTACTATCATAC